AGTATTTCTCTTTCTCGATGACGATTTTTTCATTCTACGCGGAGAGTTTCCATTCTCGAGGATCTTGTTTGAAATATGGCGTCTCACAGGTTTCATCGACTTGTCGGTTTGCGAGGAATAACGATCCCTCCAAGTATCAGAAACCGACGTTACATCCTCCGAGGTATCGAGATCATTGTTACTATTACCAATGCGTAAGACGTTCATAAAGTAATCGGGATATTCCGACAATTCCGTCCGATTTTGAAGGTCTTCCTTTGCTTGACTCGGTGAGTAGAATCTGGAGTACCCAGAACCGGAATAATCAGTTGGAGCGATCTCTTCTGAGCTTATTTCCGATGCCGTTTGACTAATTACTTCTTCCTCTTCTTCGTCGTCATCGTCAGTTGATCTGTAGCTTTCGGATAAACGCTTGTCGCGAGCGAGCGATCGGGGAGGAGATCGCAAAGACTTCTTCCTTAATGATAATCTTACTGACCGATCGTTAGATACGCCAAGATTTTCTTGCTCAGTTCCTTGTAGCGAAACGGTTCTCTCGGTCGTGTTGTCGATTCTCGGTTTTCTTTGCCGTCTCATCGACCATCTCGGTCTTCTCCTCCGCCTTCGGGTGATTTTCGTGCGGGAGACTCGCGTAATTTGCGCCGGATCGATGAACGGCCACGAGTTACCGAAGATACTCGCAGACTTGGATGTATCATCTTCGATATCATTTGTTTCGAGATTGTCGCGATATGTCGCATCTTCCACGGTAGACAGAGAATCCAGATCCGAGTAACTCGCGATGGCAACTTCCTTGAGAGATGATTCGCGAAGCAAACCCAATTCCAAGGCGCAACATAAGGACCAAGCGTTTGCTACCTTAGATAATTTTGATGACCTCCTTTTAAGTTGATTCGGCTTTTGGCATTCCTAAAATTTGTGAATTAATCAAATACCATTAAAATTATAAAATTTAAAATTTCATCTTGATTTATCTTTGTATCTATGATTCGTAATTTTACTAAAATTTACCTCGCAAGTGTTATTATTGAATAATAAAAAAAGTCTCGTTAAAAGCAACATTACA